CTGAACCATCAAACAAGAACTGCCCATTCCAAGCCTGGAAAAATTCGAAGTTGTGTGGATAGGGAAAATGCTGAAGAGCTAAGTTGGGACAGCTCTTTGACTGCCAGGGAAGTTTTCAAACAGTGGGCCGAGATCAGCTGCCTGTTGAATGGAACCAGGTATTTAATTTAAATAATTAAGGCATTCCGTGGCTCTCCTTATTAGAGTCCTCAGTGTCTCACTGAATGGAGGACTATGGTTTACCATCATTCAGGTGTGAATTGAACGCTAACCACTCACAATACTAATGGCCGTTTCTGTTTATGGTATTCCCCACAAAGTTCATTGGAACCATGGCCATGGGACCCTGCCACAGCAGGGGCAATGATCACTGTGGCCATCGTGCAATAAAGGCACAGAACTGCTTGGGAGGGATAAATGGGTCAGTCCAGGCCCAGCAGCAACTGAGCAGCCTCCACATGAAGAATTCACAGCTGAGGGTCCCTTCAGGATCTGGAGGTGGTACAGAAAACTCAAGTCTGTCATCTTTGGTGCTATTTCTTGCAGCTAAGACACATTGACACAGCAGACTGAGGATTTCCCAGGACATCACAGAACTACACCGTATCCTGGTACAGAACTGTGATTTGTCGAGCTGAGTGGCCTCCTGATCCATGAGATAGCTGCGACAGATTTTTATGCAACTGGCTGCTTCCAAGGATTCACTGCAGATGTGTACTCTCTCTCAAACTTTGATCTCCTAATATATCAAGGCTATCATATGTGTATACAAGACTGTGGAGACTGGGTCATTGAATATATTCAAGAGAGAAATGTGTAAATTTATAAATATTAAAGGCATCAATGGGTATGGAGAGAAAACAAGAATTTGGCATTGAGATACAGGATCAGCTATGATCATACTGAATGGCCGAGCAAGCTCGAAGCACCAAATTACCTATTTCTGTATCTATTTCTGCAACTCAATTTATATTTGATCATACAACATCACCTAATTGTCCCCATAACAAAGTCAGTGCCACAGCCAGACAGCAGACTTTCCCAAAATAATTGGCTTGCCCAAGTCTAAAGGTATTAAAGAATGTATACACATTGTGTTGAGAGTGCCATATCATATCTGCTGACTTAAAAGAAGTTTCATTCTATCAATGTTCAAGTCATCTGTGATCATCAGACATGTTCCCTGTGCTGTGCAGCTGTTGAGGGTCTGAGCATGCTGACTGGCATGCCAATGCTGTGACAGCAATTACTTCCGATTTGGGTACTGCTGCTGCACACTGACCTCAGAGGTTCATGCAGAGGAAAGAAAATTACAGGGAACATAGATCATCAGTTCCACATCCAAGTAGTCTGCGCCAGGTACCTTGGAAGCTGCTAGGATGTTCATATCATTTAGAACTCTCATGTTTCTGCTTTGGTTCAACAGCCAGATGCCTTTCAAGATGGCTCCTGGGAGACAAGGATTACCCTCTGCAATTATGGCTGATGACCCATTATGCAACCCCCTGACTGAGGCCAAGTGCAAGTACAATGCAGCCCATTCTTCAGGGCCACTGTGGAGCATTTCAAGATTCCCTAAAAAGACTTATAACGTGGTAAAATGTTTGCATTCATGTGTTATGAAAGTTCCAATGGTACTTCCCATTGCTTGTTAAGTGAATAATCTTATATTTTATTGCATAAACCCAAAGATTTGCTTTCACTTTGAGCTCTTTGAAATCAAAAAATATATGACACTCATGAGTACGCAAAAACTTTCTCCAGAGTTTGGACTTAAGATTTTTAAACCTTTTTATCATTTTCTTGGGAGGTGGGGGTGATTGCTTTGGTATTTCAACTTGCAAAGGGCTGAGCTCAGCAGCAAATCTGCAAAGGAAACCTGATAAACTAGGAAGTACTATTCGTCAAAGACCACGGATGTAGAAAGACCATAGACAAAAATAAATAGTCGGATACAAGTCAGAGGAAGTACATTCATGCTGTAGTCACCTCTCTTCATACTACAGGAGCAGCTCTGGGTCCTGTCCTAGTCCTCGAGATAGAAGGAAAATATTCAAACACTAGAATCAGAGCAGAGGAAGGAAAAAAAGACTCAAGTGCCAGATCCTCCGCATTTTAAAAAAAGTAACTTGCATTTCTATAGCTATCTTGCAACCTTAGCTTGTCCCAAAGCACTGGAGGGTCAATGCAACTATTTGAAGTGTAATTATTGTGATATTTGTGCACTGCAAGGTCCCACAAACGGCAAGAGGTAACAAAAAAATAGTGTTTCCTCTAATAAGGACAGTTGAAATGATAAAGATTGACCTGGTTTCTGAACTGAACTTTTCTGCTTTTCTACAGATAATGTCATCTAAAAACATTCAGGGCGCCAGTTTGATGCCTCATCTTAAAGATGGTACCTTGATGCATGTAAGACTCCCATTGTACTTTTACAGGAGTGACAGCTCAAATTATGCTGTCAAGTCTGAGCCCATAGCCTTCTCACTCAGAGGCAATTGCTACACTTTCAGCAAGGATTTATGGCACAGCCTCTTTCATCCCAGATTATATCTAGCTCACAAGGTTAGGTTATCACCTTCTCTTCAAAAGTACACAATTGTTACAAAAGACTTTCCAGCCATTGTTAAAAAGAATGAAAGTCTTCCTTTTACCCAGATCCCAAGGCTGAATTTTCTAACTGAAGCTCCACCTACTGCCTTTTTGAGTGATTGTATGTTTTCCCAGGAAGAAAGGTTAAATAAGTGTGAAAATACTTTGTTCAGCTTAGTTGGAGCTTACTTTGACAATAAGAAACATTCTGACAAAAGATGAGAATGAAGCAACTGGGGACAAGACTGAGTAAAACAAACTAGTGGAAGAACCAACTGCTGTTTTTTTATTTATTATGTCATAGAGCTGTAAAGCATGGAAACAGACTCTTCGGTCAAACTCGTTCATGCTGCCCAGATATCCTAAATTTATCTAGTCCCATTTGCTAGCATTTGGCCCGTATCCCTCTAAACCCTTCCTATTCATGTAGCCATCCAGATGCCTTTTAAATGTTGTAATTATACCAGCCTCCACCACTTCTTCTGGCACCTCATTCCATACGTGCACTACCCTTTATTCCTTAGGTCCCTTTTAAATCTTTCCCCTCTCACCGTAAACCTATGCCCGTTAGTTTTGGACTCACCTAATCTGGGGAAAAGACCATGGCTATTTACCCTATCTATGTCCCTCATGATTTTATAAACCTCTATAAGGTCACCCCTCAGCCTCCAACACTAGGAAAAACGGTTCCAGCCTATCCCTATAGCTCAAACACTCCAACCCTGGCAACATCCTTGGTAAATCTTTTCTGAACCCTTTCAAGTTTCACAATATCCTTCCTATCGCAGGGAGACCAGAACTGAATGCAGCATTCCAGAAGTGGCCTGACCAATGTCCTGTACAACCTCAACATGACCTCCCAACTCCTATACTGAATGCACTGACCAATAAAGACAAGCATATCAAATGCCTTGTTCACTAGTTTGTCTACTTGCAACTCTATTTTCAAGGAACTATGAACTTGCACTCAAAGGTCTCTTTATTCAGCAACACTCCTCAGGACCTTACCATGAAGTGTTTAAGTCCTGCCTTGATCTGCTGTTCTAAAGTGCAGCACCTCACATTTATCTAAATTAAGCTCCATCTGCCACTCCTAGGCCCATTGGCCCATCTGAACAAGATTCCGTTGTACTCTGGAGGTAACTTTCTTGGCTGTCCACTACACCTCCAATTTACAAAAGATCCTATGTTCACATCCAAATCATTTCTATAAATGACAAAAAGCAATGCACCCAGAACCAATCCTTGTGGCAGACTGTTGGTCACAGGCCTCCAGTCTGAAAAGCAATTCTCCACCACCACCCTCTGTGTCCTACGTTCAAGCCAGTTCTGTATGCAAATGGCTAGTTCTCCCTGTATTCCTTGTGATCTAACCTTGCTAACTAGCCTGCCATGCAAAACCTTGTCGAACGCCTTACTGAAGTAAACATTTTGAGTATTTCACCATTCCCATCACCTTACTCTATCCAACTGTCAGAGAGAAGTTTAGCATGTATTGTTTATCTGTCTAGATTCCACCAAAATACTGGAGTGCTGATAGGATTTGTCTTTGTCAGAGCTCCTCATTTTCAAGCAGCGAGACCAAGCTGCATGAAATAGGCAACAAGAGTTTTGTTTCCCAGGATGATACTAGAAAGTGCTTCCAATTTATTAATTAAATTTATCTTCATTCTCCTGGCTGCAGTCCACATCTGCGATACACACTGTTAATGTAGCAGTCCTACATTATTGTGCACTACATCTGCACATTTGTAACAGGGACAGTTTTATTGTCATAATCTGGCAGCCCTGTATGGGTTGGTATAATTCTTCTTTCAGTCAGGGGACGTGGGTTCAAGACGCACTTGATCGTGTAACACAGACAGTCCAATGCAGTATCAGGGGAGACACTACTGCTGGAAGTGAAATATTAAATAGACGCTATGTCTGCTCTCTCAGCTGTGTGCAAAAGAATCCTTAGCATCATTCGAAAGAAGAATTCTCATTGTGTGCCCTAGTCTATGTGATGATATATCTTATCAACTGCTTCACTCCCCATTTATCTTTCAGGGCGCAAGGAATTCAGTCATGGTTATGTTTAGCACTGTTGGCTTATTGGTTACTCAATTCCAGATCAATACTACACGGTCATTAACATCAGTAACTTAGGATATTTGCACCTTGCATGAGAGTTATGGATATATACTTTATACCTGCAAATTGATTTCGTCATGCTTTGCTGAAATTGCAGGTTGAAAGCAAGTCTTGTATATTCTTACTGTTGCACAACACATACATTTCAGGCAAATGCTAGCAGTTTGCATGCGATTTTCCCGCCACCCTGTCCATTACTTTGGTTATTATACTTATTGTATCTTGTAGGGAAACATTTTACATTACCTAAATAGAGAATAAAAATAGGTTCTCACCTTTAGGTCATAGAGGTAATCGAAGCTACTCTTCTGCTCTGCAGCCTGCCTGACAGCCTCTGCCAGCTGTAACGATCCTCTGCCTCCAATGGTCCAGTGATTGCATGGCACTGCATCATAAGCTCCGGACTGTTTTGCAATTTGACAGGCAAGGTCAATCTCTGCTTTAGTGTCAGTCCTATACAAAGAAATCGTAAGTGATTTAGAGACAAATTACTTTAGAAGTGTTGTTACTGGTATTATGTTAGAAATGTGACAGCCAATTTGTGCACAGCAAGATTTCAAAAACAGCAACGTGATCATAATCAAATAATCCCTTCTTGTAATGTTGGATAAGCAATAAATATTGGCCAAGATATTCACAATGAACTATCAGTCTTCTTCCAATGGCACCATAGGACCAACACCCATCTGAAAGACAGCACTTCCACTGCCTCTCATTACTTCAATTGTTTAAGAACTACAAAACAAGATTGAAGTAACACATCCAATGCTCTAACATAGATTCTTCTTCATGCTTACCTACTATCAATATATTAAAAACTAAAAGTATTAGATCTGGAGATGGGGTACAGCTCTTGAATGAAACTTGGACTAAAAGATTTAAACTGTTAAGGAAAGGGTGCCAGAGCCTAGGCTTCTATTCTCTTCAGTATAGAAGAAATGGTCATGAATGAGTAAAGGAGTTGATAGGGTAGACAGATAGAAATTATTTGGTCTGGTTGGGAGTCCAAAACAACAAGACATAACCTTAAAATCAGAGCTTGGCCATAAGAAAGTAACATAAACAATACAGGTAATCTAGAACTCTCTGCACGGAAATTTGATAAAGCTTGCAATTGGTTTTGATGTCTACATTATTTACAGAGGTCAGAGCAAGAAGCATCTAACAGCCTGGGGTTGGTGAGGGTCAACTGAAAATTTCGGAGCTTGAGATCAATCACGTTGTTAGGTATAGACATTTAGGGATATACAGAAGACGAGACAGGTAAATAGAACTAAGATGATCTAACTAGCCACGATCTAACCGACTAGCCTACTCATGATGCTTTTTTTTCTGTGTTGAATTGGTCTTCAGACTTAAGTCAATACAAGGACCTTCAAAACCAAAAGATGGCCAGTGTGTCAACGTTCATTTGCCAGTGCCCAAATTCTCCTGGACCGGAGACTATATACCTCTTAACTGTGTTGGGAAGTGGGTAGGGTGAGGGGAAGAAAGAAAGAAAGAGAAACAAAGGCCTTTTTTACAGGCAGTTTCAACAGATCATGCTTGATGTCAAGATTAGAAACTGACCGGTTCCAGATCTGGCAGTCTGATACCTTGCCAGTACTTCAGGGCATATACTATCCTGAGAAGCCAACTTGACCCATTTGTTAAGACCTGAAGCAAAGGTACAAGATTATCCTGTAAACAACTGGCCTCTTGAGTAGGGTAGTCAGTGGTGAACGAGAGGTTATCCAGTTCTGTGTGGTCTGCAACGTTAACTGCTTAAACTCCAACCATATTTTTGTGCATGCCTGACAATATTTAAAACCTTGGCTTCAGTTAACACATGCCTTGGTTTCCTGGACTTGTGTAGATGGCATCCTATTACAGTGTGAAGGCAAATAATATTTCAGTAACTTTCTCAGAACCAGGGTAATTAATTCTTCAGGTCAGTTTGAAACATACTTTTCATGTAATTAAGTTAATATCAGCAGTCTGACTGATCCATCTTACTCTGAAGTAGCAATCTAAACTTGCGCATCTCTTGCGCCCGTTTATGCTGTAAAGTTATACTTTCTAAACTTTCCCCATAACACATCCTTTCCCTTCACACTTACAGTCAGAGATATACAGCATGGAAATAGACCCTTTGGTCCAACTCGGTCATGCCAACCAGATATTTGGCCCATATCCCTCTAAACCCTTCCTATTCATGGCCCACCCAGATGCCTTTTAAATGTTGTAATTGTACCAGCATCCGCTACTTCCTCTGGCAATTCATTCCATACACGCACCACCCTCTGCATGAAAAAGTTGCCCCTTAGATCCCTTTTAAATCGCCCTCCTCTCACCTTAAACCTATGCCCTCTATTTTGGACTTCCTTATCCTGCAGAAAAGATCTTGTCTATTCACCCACCCATAACCCTCATGAATTTATAAACCTCTAACAAGGTCACTCCTCAGCCTCTGTTTTCCAGGGAAAATAGCCCCAGCCTATTCATCCTCTCCCGATAGCTCCAACCCTGACAACATCCTTGTAAATCTTTTTTGAATCCTTTCACAACATCTCTCCTATAGCAGGGAGACCAGAATTTCACGCAGTATTCCAGAAGTGGACTAACCAATATCGTGTACAGCTGCAACATGACCTTCCAACTCCTATACTCAATGCACTGAACAATAATGGCAAGCATACAAAACACCTTCTTCTTCATTATCAGTACGGTGTGGTGCTTGAGGAACACAGGCAGCATCAGAGGAGTAGGAATGTCGACATTTCAGGTTTACACCCTTCATCAGGACTAAGGAAGGGGAAAGGAGCTCGGAAATAAATGGGGGGTGGAACTGGGGGAAGATAGTTGGGATGGTGATAGGTGGATGCAGGTAGAGGGTTGTGGAGATTAGTCAGTGTGAAGGTTGGGGCAGATAGTTGAAAAAGATGAACTGGTTGCGTCAGGTTAAGGAGACGGGGATGAGAGGGAGGGTTGAACGTGACACGAGGGCAGGGTTGGGGAGGTTTTGAATTTTACGTTGACGCCATCAGGCTATAAGCTCCCAAGGCAGAATATCAGGCATTGTTCCTCCAGTTTGTGGCGTCATTGTAACACTAGTGGAGGCTCAGGATGGACATGTCACCAAGGGAGTGGGACAGGGAGTTAAGATGGTTTGCAACCAGAAGGTGTTATTGGTTATAGCATACAGAGCACAGGTGCTCCACGAATAGATCACCGAGTCTGTGTGTGGTTTCGCCGATGGAGAGAAGGCCACATCAGGAGCAACGGATACTGTAGACCAGGTTCAGGACGTACAGGTGAATCCCTGTCAGATTTGGAAAAATTGCTTGGGGCCTTGGACGGAGGTAGGAGGGGAGATGTAGGAGCAGGTGTAACACCTCTTGCAGTTGTAGGGAAAGATGCTGGGTGTGGGTGAGTGGGGGAATGAGCAGTTCCTACGAAAGGCAGATAGGGATGGGGAGGGAAATATCTCTTTGGTGGTGGGGTCAGATTGTAGGTGGCCAAAGTGGTGGAGGATGATGCACTGGATGCGGAGGTTGGCGGGGTGGTATGTAGACATGCAATCCAATTCAGTATGAAAGAAGGTGCAAAACTTGACCTACTCTTGGGAAATAAGGCTGAGCAGGTGACTGAGGCGTTAGTGGGGGAGCACTCTGGGGCCAGTGATCATAATTCTATAAATTTTAAAATAGTAATGGAAAAGGATAGACCCCAACTAAAAGTTAAAGTTAAAGTTCTAAATGGAGGAAGGCCAATTTTATAAGACAAGATCTTTCAGAAGTTATTTGACAGCGGGTGTTCCCAGATAAAGGGACGGCTGGAAAATGGGAAGCCTTCAAAAATGAAATAACAAGAGTCCAGTGATAGTATGTTCCTGTTAGGGTAAGGGGAAGGTTGGTAGGTGTAGGGAATGCTGAATGACTAGATAAATTGAGGTTTTGGTCAAGAATAAGGAAGCATGTGTCAGGTACAGACAGCAGAGATCGAATGAATCCCTAGAAGAGTGTAAAGGCAGTAGGCGTATACTTAAGAGGGAAATCAGGAGGACGAAAAGGGGATATGACATACCTTTGGCAAACAGGGTTAAGGAGAATCCGTCAGGGATTCTACAAACACATTAGGGACAAAACAGTAACAAGGCAGAGAATAGGGCCCCTTAAAGATCAGCAAGACTGCCTATGTGTGGAACTGCAGGAAACTGGCGAGATACTAATCAAGTATTTTGCATCAGTGTTTACTGCGGAGAAGGATATAGAAGATAGAGAACTTGGGAAATAAACAGCGACATTTTGAAAAATGTCCATATTACAGAGGTGGTGGTGCTGGATGTCTTAAAACACGAAGATGAATAAATCCCCGAGACCTGATCACATGCACCCTAGAACTCTGTGGGAAGCCGGGGAAGTGATTGCTAGGCCCCTTGCTGAGATATTTGTATCATCGATAGCCTCAGGTGAGGTGCCAGAAGACTGGAGGTTGGCTAACATGGTACCACTATTTAAGAACAGTGGTAAGGAAAAGCCTGGGAACTAAGAACCAGCAAGCCTGACATCAGTTGTGGGCATCCTGAGGGACAGGATTTACATGAATTTGGAAAGGCAAGAACTGATTAGGGATAGTCACCATGGGAAATCGTGTCTCACTAACTTGATTGAGTTTTTTGAACAAGTAATTTGCTGCTCTATTTTCCATCTTCCCCGAAAGATATTTATCCATTTTTGCAGAATTGTAACTAAATTGAACATACTGCCTTACATAAGCAGCAATATTTAAACAAGGCCAAAATGCTCTTGCCCAATGCTCTGGGTATATTCCCCAATACTTCAAAAATCTTGTCTCATTTAAAAAAAAGGGACAAGCATTATATTTTCATTCTTCATTGTACAATCTTTTGATTCGTGAGAAACACCTCAAATCTTAATTTAAATTTTAGTTTTCATTAGTTTTTTCTCCATAACTCATCTAAATCCCCTGTAAACCTTTAAGAGTTACTACCTCAGTCCCTACTGCTCTCCATTTTAGAGCTTTATGGAAATTTGATAAATCTTGCAATTGGTTTTGATGCCTAGGTTATTTACAAAGGTCAGAAGGAACAGGCATCTAACCGCCTTAGCATTCCACTCAATACCGTCCCCTCAGTCTCACCCGAAACCTTCCAATTGCATTCTTTCTTATTTTTGAACCAAATTCTTAATTTGATTTCCCATGTAACTAGGATAGTCTCACACCCAATAAACGCAGAATTAAACACTCCTGCTGGATTTCGAACTTCAACATTGAATGATAAAACTGTGACCACCCAAGTTATGCAAGTAACTGAAGTGAGAGAAACTCAGTGCAGGCTTCAAAGCTGAACTGCATCAATTGAATGTCAAGATTCACAGATTGAAACTCAATGTGTAATTGAGCTGCTTCTAGTAGCTCTAGAAAATCCTTCATAAGTTGCTAATTCAACTTTTTTAAAATAGTTCAAAAAAATCTTCATTCGACCTATGAAGTTTCTAATCTTCATTTATTCCATAAGTGGATTGCAGAGTTATTTTTTCCAGTTCAGCGAGACCCATTTCTAAAGGCACCGGATAATTCCATTAGAATCCAGCCCTCTGAAATTCAAAGTCACATCTTTCTAATTAGCAGATAACGTTCTTTTTAAAGTAATTAATTCCTATGTTGTTTTCTTCACTTAATTCAAATCAATGGATAATTGAAATTGCTATTTATACAGAAAACAAAACTAACCAGTAATTATGAGCAGCAGATTGCAAGGCAAAGACTCCATTTTTAATTCACCATACCTTGAGCATACATCTATAGTAATCTTGTTAAAATGAATTATTTTAAATCCAGACAATTCTTTGCAACTGTCTTTGCTCACATTTTGTAGTCATCAACAATTTGCATTTATGCAGTGCTTTTAATTTAATTAAAACCCCAGAGCCCTACCCCAGATGGTAACCTGACACAATGGCACATACAGACATACAAAAACAGATAACTAAATTCTTGGCTAATTAGGTAGGTTATAAGGAGCAATTTAAAAAAAGGACATAGAGGCCAACTGGTGAGGGAGGAAATTCCAGTGTTTAGGACCTAGACAGCTGAAGGCATAGCATCCAATGACAAAACGAGAGATTGCACAAGAGGCCCAATTCAAAAGAACAAGTGGCGGTGGTGGTGGTTGGTGGGGTGCTTGTTCATGCACAAGTCTTTGATGGTGGCAGGAGAGATTAACAAAGTACGTGAAAACGCATATGAAATGCTGTGCTTTACAAAAAGGTCACAAAGTTTAAAACCCAAGATGCTACGATAAACTTACTTAAAACATTTGCTTGGCCCTCACTGGAGTATTGAGTGCAACTCTGGACTATATTTTAGTAAGAACTTCATGATTTTGCAGGCAGCACAGGAGACATTTACTAGAATAGTTCCAGGGGTGAGGGATCTCACTTACAGATACACTGGTGAAGTACAGGTTCTCCTCTGAGAAGGGAAAGGAAAGAGGAAACTTGATTAAGATACTTAAAATCCTAAAGGATGTAGGTAAAATAAAGAGGAACAGTTTCCAAGGGCTGAAGATTAAATAACAGGAGAACATAGATGTCAGTCATTAGCCAGGAGTGTACTGAGGGAAAAGTACCAAAAGTGACTTGAGGAAAAGTTCAGATTTGGAATGCACTGCTCGCAAGGGTGCAAGATACAGATTTAACTATAATTTTATGAAAGAAACTGGATACATATTTGAATGAGAAAAAGATGCAGACAAATGAGAAAAGAGCAGAGTGAAACCAACCAGTAGATTACTCTTCCAAAGAGCTGGCTCAGACTCAACAGGCTACTTCTGTGCTTTACTTTTCTATGATTGGAGGGAGGAGGTGATGAAGACATTTGAATATTAGGATGAAAATTTTACACTGGAGGTAATTCTGGAGTTAACATAGGTCAGCAACCACAGATGTGACCTGAAGGGATGCTCAATGGGGCCATTTGAGTGAACATGATTCTGGGTGATGTAGCATCAACCAGTTAGTGAATGTAATTGGCCACCAGCAATTCGCCTGCTCAGTTTGGGAAGAGAGTGAATGACAAGAAGTACCTTCATTAATAGATGCATGCATTGATTTGACACTCGGACAATTCTTGCAGAGGTGGAGAACCTGTAATTTGATATTCTGTTGAGAGGACAAGATCTCCTCCATGTGTAAAGTGCTTCCCCAACGAGTCCCAAACCACAACACTTACTTGAAAACATTCACAGCAACTACAACTGGAATCCCAAACAGCTGAGCAATTTGTATTTGTTTTTGCAGATTACAGCAGCCATCAGCCACCAGTTTCAGGTTCTAAAAAATAATGATATAAACCTTAAACAAAGAAACTTGGGGTAAGTACAAAAATGCTGAAAATGCTCAGCAACCTGTGGAGAGACAGAGAGAGTTAACATTTCAGTTAATAACCCTTCATCAGAACTGAGATGAGAAAACAAGAGGTTGAAAATCAAATGGTAAGAAAGGTACACCTATATATGGCTTCACTGCAGCTGGATTAGGGAGGATCAGCCAGTTTCACTGCTTGTGCTTTTACATAAGGCCCCTATTGCTGGATATTGGCTAACATCAAGCCAGAGGAGCACCAGAATTAGTTGAGGGTTGCCAATCATTACTCCTCAGAAGAGCACTACCAGTGCCAGGCAGCAGGCGCCATCACCTAGAGAAGCTGAGCACCACTAATTGGACATCAAGCTCACTTTCTGCTTTGCATTTGAAAATAGTGGCTCTGGAATAGGATTGGGACCCAGAATTCATATGGATTAATTGAAAAACTGGCCCCCAAAGTCTTTAAAACACTTTGTATAGGAGTAACTATCAAAGACAACCAAGTACTGAACGGAGTCCACACATAAGACGTAAATCATCAGATAGTGCTTGAACTGTGCAAGGCTCTGGTCAGATCATACATTCAGTTTTGTGCCCATTTCTGGGGGATTCTAACTTTCCTACATACACTAGAATAGCAATAGTGTAAAAGGGAGAAAGGGGAAAAAGTTTCTGAAGCACGTTAATGCAAATTTTCTTCATCAGTATGTTTGTGTCCAACAAAAAAGGTATAGCCAGACCTGGTTCTGTGGGGAGGGGATGTCATGTTGCAGCTGTATAGGACATTGGTTAGGCCACTTTTGGAAAACTATGTTCAATTCTGGTCTCCCTGCTATAGGAAAGATGCTGTGAAACTTGAAAGGGTGCAGAAAATATTTACAAGGATGTTGCAGGGGTTAAAGGGTTTGAGCTATAGGGAGAGGCTGAATAGGCTAGAGCTATTTTCCCTGGAATGTTGGAGGCTGAGGGGTTATCTTTGAGAGGTTTATAAAATCATGTGGGGCATGGATAGGGTGAATAGACAAAGTCTTTTCCCTGGGGTGGTGAAGTCTAAAGCTAGATGGCAGAGGTTTAAGGTGAGAGTGGAAAGATACAAAAGGGACCTAAGAGATAACTTTTTCACGCAGAACTGCCAGAGGAAGTTGTGGAGGTTGGTACAATTACAACAATTAAAAGGAATCTGGATGGGTACATGAATAGGGAAGGATTTAGAGGGATATGGGCCAAATGCTGGCAAATGGGACTAGATTAATTTAGGATATCTGGTTGGCATGGACAAGCTGGGCCAAAGGGTCTGTTTCTGTGCTGTACAACTCCATGACTCTAGTATCAGAAGAAGAACATTTAAGGAACAGTCATCATAATATCATAGGTTCCAATTCGCTATGGAAAAGGACAAGAAATAATCGAAAGTAAAAATACTTAATTGGAGGATGGCTTTATTCAATGAGATGAGAAAAAATCTGGCATGGGTAAACTGGAATCAGATTTCTCCTATCTCTCTAAGCCTATCTACTACTACAAAGTGCAAGTGAGGAGGGTGATAGAATACTCTCCACTTGCCTGGACGAGTACAGATCCAACAACATTCAAGAAACCTGACACCACCCAGGACAAAGCAGCCCACCTGACTGGCATCCCATCTAACACGTTCATTATTCACTCCCTCCAATACCAATAGAGTGGCAGCTTTGTATCCTATCTACAAAATGCACTGCAACATGTCCCCCAGGCTCCTCCAAAAGCGCCTTCCAAATCCACTGCTTCAACCACTAGAATGAGACAGTAGTAAAAGCATGTGATGGTGATCCCATTTACTTTCTTCTCTAAACCAAAGCCATCCTAACTTGGAACTATATCACTGTTTCTTCACTGGCACACGATCAAAATCCTAGGACTCCCTTCCCAACAGTGCAGAGATACATCTGCATTCCAAGGACTGCAACAGTTCAAGAAGGCAGCTCTTTACCACTAAGGGCAAAGAGGATGAGCAATACCCGAGTCATACTAGACTCATAACATTGCTTTAGCATTGCTTGGAGTACTTAGGTTTTGAAGGGCTATGGTAAAAGTAATTTATTTCAAGATTTGTGGGCACGCCTGAAATTGATTTTTAAAAGGTCGCTGAAAATTCACTATAGACATGAGTTTTTTTTTAAACAAGGCTTTTCAGAAATCACATAATTGGCGACAGAGGCTTACTATGTTATAGACTTTGCTAGAGTTGTTTTTTCTAAAAAAAAGTGTGACTGGCTTCGAGAGATTCTTGTATCATGTGGTTCAATTGAAGCAAAAGCTGCTGAGAACAAGATGGGTTAGCATGAAGTCTACTAAGAATAATAAATGGAGTTGAAGGGAAGCTTATTATGAACAAATTGCCCACCTGATCTGTCCCACTTCTGAAAAGAAAATCCTCTACATCAGTTTAGGGTAAAATCTATTTGCTGTTTGCATAGTGTAATAAGTTTCATCCTTTAGCCTTCAAAAAATCCAATACCAAACTGTTGTATCAGAAAGCTGATTTCTACCAAGAAATCAGCTTTCTTTTCCCGAACAGAGAGCAAGAGTATGTTTTGGGGATAATTAAACTGATAAATGTTTACATTTCTATATTACTTACTACATGTTAACTAAATATTACATATTTTGCCTGCAGTGACTTATTTAATAAAGTTGTGTTTTGATAACAAATCCATAATTTGATAATTAAGAATCCTGGTTGATAGATCTTTGGCTTACAACTCGATATACACAAGGTATTTAATTGGTCATCTGAGTAAACTGATAAAGTATTTTTATTCACGTTGCTGCTTTTAGAGTAATGGAACTACAGCAACGATGCATTCTTCCAGCCTCAGTCATAAGTGCACAGACAAGAACATGGCTTACATTACAATAGGAAACCTGAAGACTATTCTGGTCTTTATGAAGTGTACATACCTCCTCAGTGTACTCTTTTGATAGAGGCTTGCCTGCAGTGACCTGAAAGAGAACAAGTCAGTAATCCTTGTTAACATAGATACAGATTGTCACATAGAAGAACGGAAGTTTGTGCCTGAAGTTATATTTTATGCAAGCTATTTTGGGATGATGTGCAAACAAAACAAAATAAAAACACAAAGATAAAATCAGTAAAAAGGTACAAAAGAGGTAGCATTTATAGTATACCTTTCACGACCACAGGACATTCTAATCACTTCGTAATCAATCAAGAATGTCTAAGTAATTGTTAAACAATAGCAATCACACCAAGAACACCTCCATTGTTCCTTAAATTGTGACATTAGCTCCCTTACATCCAACTTGAGGCAGATGGGGGCCTTAGTTTCACACCTCAATTGAAAGGTATCAATGTTGACTATGTTGCTGTCAATATTGACTGTACTGATTTGCACTGTCAGATTGGATTGTGCGCTCAGGTTCCTGGAGTGGTGTTTCAACATATCACCTTCTGACTAAGGAGGAAAGAGCGTTATCACTGAATCATAGCTTATTACAACCCTGGACTAATGGGTTCAAACTTTTATCTCATTTCACCATCTCACTGAACCTGAGCCATTGGGTGATTCCCAGTTCACAGGCAAAGTCTGAATAATTGTACCAGCTTGAGTGAATGACAATGCATTCAAAGCTTTACTTCTTTTCCTCAGACTCTATTTTCTGCTTATTGCATCTTCTCTTGGTTGTTTGAGTATCTCTGTTTACAGGAAAAAGAAACCTTCTGTTCAAGACAAATAAGTTGTGATCTAACTGGAAAGAAGAACAGTCTAGAGGGGTTGAATGGCTTATTCTTGTTATATGGTTACAACATCTACTCACATTAGGGCCCCCACCATGCATTTTCAAGGCACGAATTGTTGCCACAAGCACTACCACATTAGGCTGAAGGCCTGATGTTCTGCACTTGATGTTGAAGAACTTCTCCATCCCAATGTCAGCACCAAAGCCTGCTTCAGTCACTGAAAAATAAGACATGATTAGACAACCTAGAAATTAAAAATATAGAACTTGCAGTTAGAAGCAAACTTATAAACAAAAAAGGTACTTTTCTCCTTTTACAATTCTCATGCCATGAAAGAACAAGAGTAGTCCATTCAACCTAGCCAGCCAATTCCGCCTTCAATGAACTCATGACTGATGGTCACACTACTTTTGAGATTTGGGACTTTTCTTGTTCACTTCTAATCTGTAAACTTGCAATAATACTAATCAACATGTCATTGCATACAACAGAAAGACGCAGTGGAGTTAGCGGCGAACCATTTGCACTAAATCATGGTGCCATAATGCTGTCTCTTCTTAAATGTTCCTTTTTTTGGACATATTGCTATTTATTAATTCCTAGACATGAAACTGCATACACAAACTTATCACAACTGTATAGCAATCAAAATGTCAGCAGCCTGCCATTTATTGAAATTATAGCTCGTCTTTATCTGAATTTCTTCCACCTGCCTTGAATCCACATTGTTCTATATTCTTTAGAGAAAAGTTCATTGATTGCAAGCTTAAAATGAATAATTGAGTTAGTGAGTACTGAACTTTATGGAGTACGTTCTATGTGTCTGTCACTGTGTGCGTAGAGGGGTTTCTTAATTTATCCCCTGAATGGACTGTCTCTTCTTTCAACAACAGTACATATTAGTCCAGTTACGGTCTAACCAAGATTTTGCAAACTGTAGCAAAACATCCTCCACTTTGTAGTCGTAAAGGTTAACATTAATTAGGCTTTTGGATTATACTTTGAGCGGAACTTCTGCGTTTTAGTAAAATAAAACAAAAGAACTGTGGATGCTGAAGATCTGAAACAAAAACAGATATTGCTGGAGAAACTCAGCAGATCTGGCAGGATGTGTGGAGGGAAAGCACAGTTAACATTACAAGTTGAGTGACCCTTCTTCAGAACCCAGTTAACGTTAACTCTGCTTTCTCGCCACAGAGTCTGCCAAACCTGCCGAGTTTCTCCAGTAATTCCTGTTTTTGTTTTACATATTTGTTATCAGTATATATAAACCCCTAAACCACTGTGGGTCACAAGATTTACATTATTTAATTGATACTCCGATTTATCCTTTTTAAATTCCAAATGGACACCTCATTCAGGTGTTCAAATTAATTTATCACAGTTTATTACCCATTCACTTAGAACACAGAACTGTACTGTACAGGGACGGGCCTTTCAGCCCACGATGTTGGGTCGAACATGATGCCAAATGAATCTAATCTCTTCTGCCTGCCCTTGGTCCATATCCCTCCATTCCTTGCATATTCATGTGCTTATCTAAAAGTCCCTTAAATGCCCTTATCGTATCTGCCTCCACCACCACACCTGGTAGTGCATTCCAGATTCCCATCACTCTCTATAAAAAACCTGCACCCATGACAACTTTGAACTTCCCCCTCTAGCCTTAAATGCGTGACCCTTTAATATTTTAATAGATTAAAATATTTAACCATTTTACTGTTCCTGTCTATTCTACTTTCTACGTTAATATAAACTTGGATATATAATTCCAAATCATTAACAAAAACATTGACGAGTTGAAGTACCAGGACAGATCCTTGTGGGACACCACCAATTTCTCCCTTCCAATTTGGGTACTTGCATACTTTATTCCTACTTTCCTCATTATGGGCCTCAATCTAATCTAACACTCTCTTATGCAGAATTTTCTCAAATACCTTCAGAAGTGCACACAAACTATAGCCTCGGCTATTTCCCTCTCTAGATTAGATAGGGTGAACAGTGGGAGCCTTTTTCCTCGGATGGTGATGGCTAGCACGAGGGGACACAGCTTTAAATTGAGGGGTGATAGATATAGGACAGATGTCAGAGGTAGGTTCTTTACTCAGAGAGTAGTAAGGGCGTGGAATGCCCTGCCTGCAAAAATAGTAGACGCGCCCACTTTAAGGGCATTTAAATGGTCATTGGATAAACATATGGATGATAATGGAATAGTTTAGGTTAGATGGGCTTCAGATTGGTTTCACAGGTCGGCGCAACATCGAGGGCCGAAGGCCTGTACTGCGCTGTAATGTTCTATGTTCTATACTTTAGATCCAGCCTCAAAATATTCAGTTCAGTTTGTAATACATGACCCATCCTCAATAAATCCATGTTGGCTTGCTCCAATTAGTTTAAACTTCTTTAAGTGGTTAATATTACATTTCATATACCTATACTATGTAAAATAATATAAACACATGTTCTAATATGCACTCATCCCCATATCAGCCCATATAATTTGTAAATATATCTGTAAACATATTTATGTCAGTATACTGTAAAAACCACTAACAATTCAATTATTTCTGCACTAAAATGTATTCACAACAATTGTCATTAATCAAGTTAAAACAAATAGTCAAGTGTGAATTCAATGCTAAAAGCAACATGGTCTGAATTAAGCAAATTTGAACTAAGAGTAAATACCACTTGTGCAGATGACTGGACCACAGATATATTTATGCTGTTATGCAGTTGTAGTTGTGCAGTTTTAATTTTCACCACCGATTATCAAGGGCAACCAAGGTTCATATACCATCACCTTCAAGTCATGCTGAGGCAAAAGGAAGATTCCCTTGTTTTCTCACAGAGTTGAGGGGATAATTTGAATGTGAGGGAGGAGTCACCAAAATTTGACATTCAGATATAAATGGCCTGTTATTTGTTGCAAACTCCAACTACTGTTGCATTACAACATGCCCACCCATTCCTTTGTTAATGACTCAAGTGTAGCTGAAATTTTGAATCTCCAGGGAAACAGTTGCTAAGATTGGATTGTGGGGTCTCGAGGATACAAGATGATGTACTGTTGATCAACAGGATCTGCTCAATCCTACTTAGTTTCCTCCTGAGTGAATTCTCTTTGTAGTCTTTCCCAATTGAGAGCCCAAGTAACAACTTGTATTTACATAGTGTCTTTGTCATAGTAAAATATCCCAAGGTGCTTCACAGACTCACAGGATCGTTATGGTGCAGGAGATAACCATTCGACCCACTAGTTCTTATTTGTTCTGAGCATTTTGACTTAGTGCCATCTCCTGCCTTTTCCCAAGAATCCTGCATGCTTTTATTTAAATAATTATCCAATACCTTCTTGAATGCTTCAAGTGAACTTGCCTCCACCACACTTCCAGACAGTGCATGCCAAGTTCAGACCACTCATCATATTCAACTGTCTTTTTTTCCCCTCACTGCACACTTGCTTCTTCTGCAAAACACTTAAAAAACCATGCTCTTTGGTTCTCAATCATTTTAGTGGGTGAGAACAGTTTTAGAGGGAGTACAGTTTCTCCGTATTTACCATGTCCTGGTATTCATAGTTATGAAAAGTTTCATCAAATCTCCCTAAAGCCTTTGCCTCTCCAAGAAGCATAATCTCAACTTCTCCAATGTATCCTCACAACTGATGTTTCCCGTCTCGATTCATTCTTCTAAACCTCTTCTGCACTCTGTCGAATGCATTCACATCCTTTATGAAATGTGGTGCCCAGAGCTGTCCACAATACTCCATCTGAGATCCAGCTGGTGTTCTATGTAGGTTCAATATAACCTCCCTGCTCCTGTAGTTTATCCCCTATTAACAAAGCCTATGTCCTTTATTAACAGCTCGATATATCTTATCTATCGACTTTAAAGACTTATATACACCCAGGTTTCTCTGCTCCTGCCCACCCTTTCAAATAGTATTCTCCATTTTAAATCATCTCTCCATGTTTTTTGTACCAAAGCATATCACTTCTCTGTATCAAACTTCAACTTCACTGGAATTTTGTTAGATAAAACTTGATATCAAACCACATAAGCAGATATTATGACTGACGATCAAAACCTTATTTAAAGAATTAGTGCTTTGAGGTAGCGAGAAAAGCTCAGAAGCTGGAAGCTTTCAAAAAGGAATTAAGGCCTAGATATCTGAAGGAATGGTTGCCACTAGTGAAGCTGTTAAATCAGAGACGTGCAAGGGGAAAAAAAATTGAGTTGCACAAATATCTCAGCAGGCTGTAAAGTTGGAGAAGGTTATAGAGGACAAGGAGGGGGCAAGCTGTTAGCTTTACATAGACATCTTTAAATTTCATCTCAGTTTGGCTCACTTAGATGACGGAGACACATGTTGAAAGAAATGAGATTCCATTCGGTTTCCTTCCGAAGTAGAATTTCCTTTCCAGTCCACACATCTCATTCTTAACCTTTTGCCATCTACTAATCCCAAGAATGCAAGACAAGTTTACAGCTGGGCCCTCTTGCAAACTGCCTGCACACATACTTGGGTCCGGCATAAATGATCAATTTTGGGCCAGAAAAAAAAGGAGCAGGAAAATTAAAAATTCAGAAGGTTTATTGTTAAGAAGAATTATAGCAGGAAACTAAAATTTTGTATATATTTTATGAACTTTTCAACAACACTATTTAAATCAGCAGCTCAAACATCATGGTTAAGCACAGTGCTGACCAACAGATAGACTTCTAATACAAGGACAGATAAACTTGTTCACTTTGAACTAGTACCACCTATGAAATGGTATGTCAAGTTAGCTAGATGAAGTAAAGTCAGTTTCTCAACAGTTTTATGGTATTAGATGGATTCCACCCATTCAATGTACCACCCTTGTTACAATCATATTATCCATTGCAACATATCCTCCTCAGTCAATACAGTCATTGTAAATTAGATCTGTTCTTGGAAAGAAAGCAGAGTATGTATGAGAGGAAGGAAGCGGCAATTGTAACTGCACACACTGGATGCTTAGAACCATTCATAAAGGAAATACCACAGGAAAATGGGCCAGCTCACTGCTGAACTTGCACTCGGTTGGATCATGCAGCTGTTCACGCCTCAGTAAATTGTGAATATCTGTCATCAAGTTCCTTCCGCTGCCCGAATCCCAATTCATTCCCATCACCCCTGAACTTGCTGCCATTCATTGGCTCTCAATTCAGCAATGCCTCATTTTT